GTGGTCGACTCCTCATGTTTTCGGCTGCGACTTCCACGGCCTCCTCGTGGTTGTCGTCCTCGTCTTCATGGTAATTGAGTCTGCATTCGGATTCTAGCGAATCGGCGAATGCTTCGGCTTTTCTTCACTGGAGTAGGCCAAGCCGCGTTGGCCGTGAAGAGTGGGGATCGTGGTGCGCTGACGACGAAATTTTCGCTGCATAGACCAGGCCGTACCATCCTGGGTCTCTAGTTCTGCACAGGCTGCATTCCATCTGTTGTTTTGGAGTTCCGCGAGTGCGTTCTTCAGAGCTAACGATGCTCTGTTTCGCGCAACTCTCGACTCCTCTGTCAACAGCTGGAGATGTTCTCGCTTGAGTCTTCTGTTCTCCCTGATCAGGTGCCTAATATGGTGCGGTGCTGGACCATTTAGGTATCTAGGAACTGCCGTAGTCTCGGAGCGGGTGCTGTCCTCGTGCGCTCGCAGGACAGCATTCTCCAGCTCCTCTACTGCGTTGTCCAGTTCCTCCGCTGATCGGATGGTTGGAATTTGAGTGATGTTCCTCTGGACGTTGGATTTGTAAAGGTTCCAGTTCGTCCGTTTGGTGCTCAAGCTATCTCGAGTTCTAGACCCTGTACCAAGTGTTAGTAGAATCGGATTGTGGTCCGACGATCCTTCCACCAGGGTCTCTATCTCGAACTCCTCTCTGATGTTGCGGAGGATGGCTATGTCCAGTACCGCAGGTCGCCCAAGGCCGAATGGAATGTAGGTGGTTGCTCCGGACCGACGATGACCCCCGCCAGGGCATCGACGTGTTCCTGGAGCTGCCTTGCATTCCTGTCTTCGACGTTGTTGTTCAAGCCGGAGACTTGCCGTTTAGATCTCCGATGACTATGCGTGCTCCTGGGCCTCTCAGGAGGTCAGCGATGTCATCTTCGTCTAGGGGCCTCCCCTGGTGGCACATATAGGGAGGTGATTCTGTAGGGACGGTGGTTGTGATGGACCTGGACCGTGATTCCGTCCCCATTATGTCTGCGGCATCGTCGAGGACATGACTCGTCAAGGTACGTTTGACGAGTAATGCGACTCCTCCACCTCTGCCCTTCTGTCGTAGCGGTACGTCTCGTACCGCGGGAACGTCAGACTATGGGCAGCATCCAACTTCGTTTCTTGGATGGCCATCACCTCTGGTTGGTACTGGTCTAGTATCTCCTGGATTTCTGGTTTCCGTGCCCTGAAACCGTTGATGTTCCAGGAGATAATTGCGTAGAGATTCTACGTTTTGACCTGTAGACATTTCGGGTCTAGTGCTTGTCTTGCATCTTGGCCTCGAGTGCATCCAGGCGGGTTATGATGGCTTGCAATCATTGCTAGCAGTCCGTCATCGCCGTGTTGCTTCTGCGCAGTAGTTCCAGTAGCAGTGGCGGCTGCTGGGGCAGAAGTGGACATAAGGCTTCTTCACTTTTGGGCGTAAGAAGTCCTATTGTGGTGGGGACTGCTTTGGGGGCAGAAGCAGCTTTCTTCGGCGCCTTACTACATCCCTTGTAGTTGGCGGGGTGGCCTTCTCCACAGAGGCAACACTTGGCGTTTCGTTGCCCCTGTTGGCGGCGCTGGCAGACTGCAAGCTGGTGCTGTTGTGGTCCTCTCCACATTAACGCACCGTTCAGCGAGAACGGCGTTCCGCTGTGTGTGCCCGTACCGCTGGCAGCGGTAGCACTGGCTGGGCTCGGAAGACTTTTTCTTCCTCTCGAAGCTGACCGTGAGCATGGCCAGCCTCTGGATCTCTGCAAGCTTTTCCGGCATCTTCGTCTTGACGAGGAAGAGCGGAAGTGGCTTCTTTGTGGTCCTTGAGGTCAGCTGCTGAACCACGGCGTCTGCGATGCCTTGGCTCACCAGATCCTCTTTGATGTCATTGACTGACATCTCTCTCGGAAGCCCACGAATGACCCTCTGGTCCATCCTGTCCTCCTTCAGTTGATATGTGAAGAAGGGCCGCTTGATGGATTCAAGCAGTGCGACTAGCTGACGGTAGTCAGCTGGTGTATTTGTGAATACCTTCACACTGGTACCCGCCGTCCTCGCTTTGGAGAATTGAATCCCTTGCTGTTCATCATCCTACTCAAGGATGACCAATCAGCGGTGCCCTCGATGTTGATTGGCGGAACTCCTGTTCCTGCCATGGGGGCCTCGGTGGTCCTGGTTGCTCTAGGACCACTCTTCTTTGTGGCAGCTGGCATCTTTCGCTGCCTGGGTTCTTCTTTTCTTCTTCGGAGGAAACTCGCACCCGCTTCCTCCGTCTGGTGGCGACACTGAAGTCGGTGTCGTCCGTCCTCTTCTCCGCTTCTTCTACGTCGATATCTTGGGCATCCATGTCCAAGTTCTCCGTAGGCTGCTGGTCCTCCTCTCCCCTGGTCCTCTCCTTCTACATCTTCCTCCGTCTTCTTAGCTTTTCTCTTTGCTTTGAGGAGCTTCCTTTTCACCTCATCGATATCATTCCTCGCCTTCTCGAATGCGGCTTGCAGATTTTTCATCTGCTCAGCGAGCATTCGAGTTCTCCTCTTTCTCCTTAAGCTGGCTCGCCAGCTTTTCGATTCTCGCCATCGTGGATGGCGATCGTACCGCGATGAAAATCACAGTAGGATCGCACTGTATGTCCGGGTGGGTCGCAGTCGCACGAGTGTATGCTCGTGCCGGCTGCTAGCTCGGAAACTCAACGGAACGACTGCAATTCTCTGGCCGTATTAAGACAGGTGTACGTTACGACCGTAGACTCCGCCCCCAGGCGTTTGCCGGCAAACGTTCGCGTCGATTGGTCGGTTAGTTCATATAAATACAACGTTCGCGGAGATCATGTTGTGCATTTGCAAGTTCATAGTCGACGTCGTTCGTTTAGCAGATTAACAAATTGAATAGTCAGGACGCGGAAAGGCGGTAAAGTTAAGGGAAAGGCAAAGTCCCGATCCCAGCAGGCCGGCTACAATTTCCCGTCGGTCGTATCCACAGGTTATTGCGAAAAGGGAATTATGCTGAACGCGTCGGTGCCGGAGCTCCCGTATATCTAGCGGCCGTTATGGAATACTTGGCCGCTGAAGTTTTGGAATTGGCAGGCAACGCTGCTCGCGACAATAAAAAGACCCGTATTATTCCACGTCATCTGCCAATTGGCCATCAGAAACGACGGAAGAATGAACAAATTGCTTTCAGGCGTCACAATTGCCCAAGGAGGAGTTCTCCCTAATATCCAAGCTGTTCTTTTGCCGAAAAGACGGAGAAGAAAGCCTAAAAAAAAAAATCTTCTGAACATACAATCGGCCCTTCTCAGGGCCAACAAGTAATTTAATAAGAAAATGAAGGGATTATCATTTTGTATATGGAAAAATTTCTCAGGGTGATATCGGATCGGTTGTGGCGCGAGAAGTTGGCAATAACTAAATTATTTAATCGAGCATCTCATCGTCGCATTCACGTCTAATATTCGCCGGTATCTCGATAATGGGACATATCGGGACCGAAATCGTCGATTATTGTAATTCAAAGAGCCAAAACGTATAAGTCGATCATTTCTCATATTCCGATAAACTCATTTATGTGAGTGTTCTTTTTATTTGTATAAAAAAAAATAGAAAATTAATGTGGCGGTTCAATCGGCAGATCCATTCTTTCTCACGAGAGTATATGGTGGTTCTGAAAAGAACCGTTTTTTTTTTCTTTGTATTGTATTTTCGTTCAACCTGTACCGTGGTAATGCTGCGGAGTGTTTAACCACCGAATCGTACAAAGTGCGTCCTTGTCTCTTTAATGCATATACGACGTCCATTGCAGTGACTGTCTTCCTTTTAGCGTGCTCGGTTGTAAGTGACTGCATCCCTGATTACGTTCTCTAAAAAGACTTTGAGCACTCCTCGAGTTTCTTCGTAAATCAATCCGGATATACGTTTTACTCCTCCACGTCGCGCCAATTTCTTATGGCCGGTTTCGTAATTCCCTGGATTTATCCCTCAAAAACTTTACGATGCCTTTTCGCTCCTCCTTTTTCCCAATCCTTTACCACCTTTACCGCGTCCAGTCATTTTCAAGATTCTCTCGCACGTCGAACTGTTAAAGCGAAACGGGCTGTTGCCAACTGACGGTACGTCTCTCGTGACGCCCGTTTTGTTA